TGAATGATGTCTTAGCTTTGTTAAGAAAGAGAACAAAGATAAGATAAATTTAGACAGCAGACTTAAGAGTTTTTTCAGTGATTCTGAATTCTGATATAAATTACATTTAATTGTTTGTGAACGAATTGGTGTGGAAACACAACTTTCCAAAGGAAACTTCAGTTACAAATGTATTTTAAGGTGTGCTGAACATGTTTGACTGTACCTTCTTCAACGTGAAATGCTGAAATTTTATGAGATCAACAGCTCTTTAAGTGTGTGTGTGTGAAAGTAACACAGGTTTTAATGAATTTATAACTATTTGTAGTCACGATATGGCTGAAATACTGCCACTGTGACTGTAAACTTTAACTCACTCACTCACTCATGATATATCGTCTCGCCTCATTAAACTGGTATCAGGATGTATCGTCTCTCCACTTCGACTACGAAGCACAGCTCTAATACCAAGTATGTGCATATTTACACAGTTACAACAGCTCTTCACATCAGTAATACATTGTAATCATCTTTTTCGAAAGTATAGATAATGAAATTTGTGCAGCTATGTGAACACACCTGTCTGTGTTTTATTGCAATAAGCTGTCTCTCCTTGTATGTCATATATAAGAAGTGTACCTAAGGTCAATTATTTAAACTATAATGTAATTTCCATTACAAAAAAAGTATAAACGGTATTACCTACTGATCAGAAAAGGCTTATCAGTACCCCACCGCCACCACCCCACCCTAGGCCTACCCCATCCTACACCCTCTCCCTCTCACACACATGCACACACACACTCCCTAACATGCATATCGCTCCGGCCCATAGACCCAATATTGTAACCTTTTAAACAGACATCATGTGTATGTCAAGAAAGGCAGGCACGTTAATAGTGGTGCTCAGTCATGGGTATCACTTCGCCATGTGTTTCTAATGATCTCCGTGCATTATGGCGTGGTCCGACGCGCTAACGAACCCGATGTGACAGTTACATTACAGAACCATTGAAATACATGTTAAAGTAGTGTTAATCTTGTAACACTATATTTACCCATTACCAACCATTTACGCGTGTACTAAATATATGACAAACCTAACCCTGGTCATACGAGATTTCAAAGGTATTGAAATGCATGTCCTACAATCACAGCATTTACATACGTTACACATGCTAGAAAACACATGAAAATAATGGCCAGATTTACACACCTGTGAAATACAAGTAAATACAGACTTGAGTGTTCATTTATTTTAACACCCCTTTAAACGTGTGTAAATCTGACAGCCAGATGATACGTAGATTTCAAACGTTGTTCATATGGCCGCCGGATGAAACGTATATTCCCTAATGTTAGTAAATTTGGGTAATACAGTCATTTTGTGTGGTGTAATAAAATATGTCTAGCCTCATCTTGGGTAAGCTCTATCTTCGTTAAGAGGGAGTTAGAAGAAGCTGACAATCAGGCCGACCTCAATCTCAATCTCTTAAAGTTGATTGATCTTCAAACAAGTTACTTTGTACGCTAGCAATGTCCCCAAGGTCATTGTAGGTCACTAAGAACAGGAGGAAACAGGCGACTTTCAATTCGCAATTTTAAAAAGACTTCGGTCGGTCAACACCAGTTTGGTACACTGAGTAATATCAATAGAATCTTCAGGAACACTTGATAAGCAATTCTGATAGCAGAAGTAACCTTGTTTCTTACTGGTCAGAAATTAGGATCTTATTGCATTTGTCCCCAAAACCGGATCTGCTGATCTGATTGTAACAAGTTTATTGGTATGTGTTTATCACAGATTTCTACAGACAATATCAATGGTAAGATCAACAATGTGCTAAAACAGTCTTTGTCCGATACAGGGCAGGAAATACAGAAGTCGTCTCCCCTGAAACTCTGGGTAGCTGTTCTAGAGGGGTTTCTCGGTGATCTCCCGAATCCCATACAGCTGTCGGGAGCTGTGACTGACGCCATTGCGCAGCTCCGGAAGAGCGGAATGACGTCAGACAACGTCTTCTTGGCAGGACACAGTCTCGGAGGTATGACGTCAATCTGCTGTTGGTAGAATCACACCCAGACATATGAACGTGATGATCACACGCGGCGGAAAATGTTTACATATTTGCAACAATAACAACAACATTCGAAAATAAGCAAGTATATTTTCTGTGCGATTTGAATGTTGTCAAAACATCTCCATTTGAGTAAAAAGTATCTCATTAAATCAAGAGTTAAACAGCAACAAACTCCTTTTAGAGGGTAAACATTAAACCAATTTTAATCTCATATTGTGGTCGACAATGGTGGGTATTGTGAGCAAACCTAAAATGGGGCCGGTTTGCCCAGAAACGAATTGGAAAATCAGTAATTGACTATGCAGTGATCAATGAAAATTCTGTTTGATTGAAAGACTTTTGAAAAAAAATTAAACATACAATACCCTCTCTTGAAAGGCGTCTTTGTTGGAAACCATGGGAAGTCTCATGCCAAACAGTTGAAGGGCATCCTGCTGCTGGCGTCCTACATCACCAAGGGGAATCCCCTGTCCCAGTATCCTCTTCCTGTCCTCACTATCTCCGGCGACCTGGACGGTAACACTCGTATCACCAGGATCGCTGACAGCTTCCAGTAAGTTCAAGGTTCAGTTGCTTGTCGCAACCCTCTTCACTAAAGTCGTTGTGACGAATATGTAGATGATATAACAGAACCATTAATGGAAAGAAAAGACGACAGAAATCCCGTTCTACGCTTAAACTCTTTTCACCAACTTGTGTATGATTAACCCAACCCTACCACACTGTTTTATGCTATGTGCACAACGTGTTTTCCAGAGAGTTGCAGAGCGACGTTGCCAAGAACGCCAACGCTATGTACCATACTCCCGTCGTCATCATGTCTGGCATCAACCACGCCCAGTTCGCATCCGGCACCATGCCCTCCGGGGTCCTCAAGGTCGACCTTCCCGCAGAAGTCAGTGAAGCAACAGCGCACAACGTGATTGCGCAGCACTGCAATAACTTCCTGGTTGCAACGCTTCAGCAGCCGCAGACCGACGTCACGAAGGCCAAGGCCGCCCTCAAGCTGGCGTATGACGCTACTAGCCGCATCATGAAAGTAAGAGATGTTAGACAAACAACCTGTAAATGGGCTAGTAGGGCTACTATTTCTTATAATCATTAAACATGCAACTTTCGTAACCAACAAGGGTATACACTACTGGTTGGTCAGGCTTTGGTTGATGAATGTCATCGATGCTCATGATGTCAGCCACTGGGAATCCTCGTCCAGACTGGATTATTTACAGACCACCATCATATGTCGGGGATATTGCTTAATGTAGCCTTATACAGAAAACAAAACCAACAAAATGACACACGTTACCCAACTCATCACAATCCCCATTCTCATCACAGCCACTGCTCACCCTCAAGACTCTGGACATGAATGACCAGGATGTGTCCGGCTGGACCATCCAAGCCCAGAAGCAGTTGCTAGGTGACATCGCCAAGACGCTGAAGGTAACCGGGCTGTCATCAACACTTTGTCTGTGGCTTTATCGGCAATAAGTAAATGCTGAATCAGCATGTTAGAAGTGCGTGAGTAAATAGCTAAGCATACATCTTCATGGATGACAACATCATGTTTATGCACAGAGCGGCGTTTGGATGTAGATTCTTACACCGCTAACAATGTGAAGTGTCACATCAGTGCCATGACGATGTAAGAATCGATATGTCGAAGAAGTTGTCATCAATAAAGTTGTATGCTTCGTCATGAGGGTCAGTAAAGGTAGTTTATACATGTATATTCGTGTATGACATATTGAGGAGGTCAACTGTTGTATATATGTGTGTAACACACAAAGGTCCACTGTTGTATATCAGTGTATAACACACAAAGGTCAACTGCTGTATATGTGTGTATAACACACAAAGGTCAACAGTTGTTTATCTGTGTATAACACTCAAAGGTCAACTGTTCTATATCTGTGTACAACACAAATAGTTAAATGCTGTATATCCGTGTATAACAAAGATAGGTCAACTGTTGTATATCACTGCACAGCACACAGAGGTCATCTGCTGTCTACCTGTGTATAACAGATAACTAGCAAGGAGGAGGGTGAGCCTGCGTTTTTGAAGGCCAGGGCAGACACAGGCACCAACATCGTCGACACCGTCACCCACGTGTCCCTGCCTCTCAACCCCCTGGATGTCTCCACAAACAAAGCTTCACCAGATCAACTCGAGGCCAAGATGAAGACACGCGAGGCAGTCGTAAAATCTATGTCGGAGGTCAAGGCCGGACCTGGTCCGACCATCACATGCAAGGACATCAACAAGGTGAGAGACTTATGTCCTTGCGCCACATGACCAAAGAGCTTGACCCCGCCCTACTACATGTACATCTCATGTCGCTCATCTAGCTGAATCTAAATTCGACTTCTTCGTGCACTTTGACAACAATGTTCGGCCAAATATCTATATCAATATCAAGACACAAGATATTCCACATGTCATTACAGTACACAGAACTGTTGGAAGTGTCCTCAGTTGCAAACTCTGGCATAACAAGAAATACCACCGTTTCTCTCCCCTGTATGTGTATTGTAATACATGGTGTCACTGTATGGAGATTGTTGTATAGTGTGTGTCACTGTATGGAGATTGTTGTACATGGTGTGTCACTGTATGGAGATTGTTGTACAGTGTTACTGTATAGAGATTGTACAGTGGAACGGTATGGAGATTGTTGTACACTGTGTGTCACTGTATGAAGATTGTTGTACAGTGTTACTGTATAGAGATTGTTGTACAGTGGCACGTATGGAGATTGTTTTTGGTGTGCCACTGTATGGAGATTGTTGTACATGGTTGTTACTGTATGGAGATATTTGTACATGGTGTCACTGTTAGGAGATTGTAGTACACTGTGTGTCACTGTATGGAGATTGTTGTACAAGGTTGTCAGTATAAGGAGATTGTTGTAGTTGACTGTTGATCCTCTTCCCACAGGCTGCATTCCAGCTGGCTCTCAGCTCTTCCTCTAGTGTGGCTAGGACACGCTACCAGAAACGTGCAGTGAGGAAACTGGTTTTCAAAGATGACGTCAAACTTAGCACTGGCATCCAATGGGTGGGACGGACCTTGGGACTGAAGGAAACAGGGAATGCGCTGGAGGTAACTTCTGCCTCTCTAGTGACAGCTGCCGACTACACCATCCCATCTTTCGCTGGCATGTACTACTGCAAGCTGTTGGCTCCGTACCGTGCCATGGAGTGGATCTATGTGGACTCACTCCGAAGAAATACCTCTCCCAGTCTGGTGGGGTGATGTGAAATGTATTTAAACTACCTAAGAAATTTAGACATGTAATATAATAAATTGGTTTACTCTTTTGCATGAATTTTGTTGAGACAATTCCAAGTGATTGACCAGTATTAGTTACATTTTCCGTGTCAACTAAATGTTCACTGTTTCCATAATTACGAATATGACCCGATCTACATCGTTGCCTGTCACAGCACGAACACCCTGATTCAGTTGGGTCAACAACAGTTGGTGTCGTGGCACCAGGGTTAAGGTCAATGATCTGGCTCTGGTGGCACCAACTAGGGTTGATGACCAGCTTCTGATGCTACCAAATATGGTTAATGACCTGCTTCTATTTATATTATCTAGGGTTAATGACCTACTTCTGATGCCACCAACTAGGTTTAATGACCTACTGCTAGTTACACCATCTAGGGTTAATGAGCTGCTTCTAGTTACACCATCTAGGGTTAATGACCTGATTCCGATGGGTTATAAGACACAGACGTACATCACATTTTAGTATATCTTATATTCCAGTATACAACACAACCTCCTATACATACTCTATCACATCGAGTTTCATGTATATTGGATGGGGTCAGTGTGGCAGCTGGTCACCCATCATGATGAAGACCGGTGTCCAAACATAATGTCAAGCTGATTTCTGGTTACCCATGCTGTAACATTACTGCAGTGTTGCTAAAGGCAGCATCAAAGTAAAGCAATGCCATCATGTGGTAAAAGTTTAATGGCAACTAAATACAACATCCATAAACAGATAAATAGAAGAAACCCAATTCTCACGAAATGTGCACCATCAAACATGACAAACTGTTGAAAAGTCAACTTCAATATTTTATTTTTTAAATTAAGATGGTGTAAGTACACCATCCTAAGAGTTAACATGTGAATTTTCAGGACTCAAACTCTAAAAGTAAATTCTGTGTGGTCGGTTAAACTTGACCCCTCATTTTTCACAATGTAATCTACGTTATGCACATAGATTACATACACATGCCAGTAGTTTCTGCAGAAAGCAAGTACACACATGATGTTATATTGTTCATTACTGCCGGGAGTCAGGTGATATGAATAGTCACGGTCAGTATGTGTTCTGTCATCAGAGATAGGACACAGCTTTCTTTAAAACAATAACTTGTGTTCTCAAGAACTTGTGTGCAAGGATAACATCACTTTCAATTCAATTAGCCCTAGCTTACATATATCTACCAAACAAACTTTTATATAAGGCTAAATACCAACATTGCCACAGAAACATTGTTTAAGAATCAAATACAGAATAATGAAGATAACAATTTGTCGACCATTCTGAAAATGTCTTGTAGATTACAACTATTAGTAACGAAAATTCCAGGTTTCTGAAATACAACGAGACAACGCGAGGAACGTGTAATCAAGTAACTAACGAATCATACTGAAAAGAACAGCTACATGGCTCTGTTAAATATCCTGAAATTGTCAAATTAACTGCTTGTGGAATGGTGTCGTAAATTACAACACATTTCTGAAACCCATGGTAATGTGTGCTTCATCATGCGCTGTTAGTTTGAAAGCGCGCCGATAACGACCAGTGGCTTGAGAGGGCTGAACTGTGCAAAGAATATCCTCAAATGACACCCAGATTTCATCCGAACGTCTTGGCCATTTGAAATGACAATCACTGTCATCCGGGTCCACCTCTTTGACCACTCCAAGATACCAATTGCCTTGGTACACAGCAGCAATGAAGTCACCACTGGTAGGTACGACTGTGCGGGGTTGATGTGTAGCAGGAGCTTGCTTCTGCTCAGGATCAATGTGTTCCAGATCTGCTGGATGTTCTGATGAAGATTCTGTCGACGATTCTGCTGTACGTTCTACCGGTGGTTCTACTGAAGGTTCTACACAAGGCTCTGGTGTAACAACATCCGGTCGAGGAGCAGTGGGCTTCAAGATAGAGGAGGGCAACCAATCAGTGTGGTAATTACCATCCGGACACATGGAACAGTAGCAAGATGTGGTTCTTGCCATTATGTTTCCCTTTGATGTTCCAATGATTGCATGAATCTTCATGGTTCCTTTCAAGGGGACTGTGGTCTTAGTCAGTTCCTGAAGTTCCTCCTTGACAGCAGCAATCTCGTCACTGTTGACGAACAGATAGGAGCAGCTTTTGTGGTTCTCCGTTCCCCATTTAAACAATTCCTCGGCATCTTGGATGACAGACTTCTTTTGTCGAACAGACAACTCTGCCAGTCTTGAAAACATTGATTTACGTTTCTCTATAGCTTCGGAATTTGAAGGAAATATCTAATTCTGCAATATTTGTAATCTTCGTTACCACTACTTTGAGACACTGTCTCAATGTAAATAAATGTCCTCTTTATACCGCATATATGAAAAACATAAAATCCTTTGCATAAAGGGCAAAACGAAATCACATCCAAGGAACCTTCATCAATAATCTTTCAACAGTGTGGATGTAAGTTTGTTTCAAAAGTCCAGTCGTCTGTAATCACGTTACCATCAGTGTATTTGCTGCACTGTCTAATATTTCCAAAATATACGAGCAGGGAAGGAATTTATGTATGAACAACATACTATGATGGTATACACATATACACTGACAAGTATACATACCTTTTCTTTGGTCGACAGTCAATCAGATAACACCTTCTGTCATTTGACGTTTTCAAAGTCGTCTTCTTGACGTCAAAGTGCAATGGGCGCTCTAAACCGCGATTTTCACAAAGGGATGTAACTCCCATTTGTACAGGGAAACATCCCAGCCATGCTTACCACCATAAAACAAGGACTTGGATACAAGGTCTTAAATGTGGTAACGAAAATTACATCACGAAAATTACACCTTGACTTTCTTTACCTTGTCATATTAAAATCATGTGTTACTTGACTCTAATCAGGCCATGAGGTTAATGTATATCTGTCGTCTATTGCATGCACAGGGTGGAGACATCGGCAGGCAGTGTAATATTGACAGCAGGACAGTCCCGTAGATTACAGGCTTAAAACAAACCTTTCTTTGAGTAACTTTCGACACAATGACAAAGAATAGCATCCGTAAGGGATGAAATTACTTCCTATAAATGAATTTGTTGAGCAATTTTCAGTTAGTTTGACCATTATACAACAGTTTCTTTGTACATTGTACATGTTTAAATTGAAAAAAAGAAATGTATCGAAGATTACAGAAAATTGGGGACAACATGTCGACACACATATTTTTTTTCTGTTATGGGCTGTTGCAAAGAGGTATATGCCCTTCGATACTGCAAGCACCGAAGGTCTTCATGATACAGTTTCCCCTGACCTACAGTGTATATAATGATTAAGTAGAATGGTTTTATTAGACCACCCCCATTGTGCGACAAGAGCAAAATGGGCAAAACGAGGTGTTTATACTGGTATGTATTGTACTAAACACCATATGTACACATGCTATCAGTTTGAATAAGTGGTTCTCCGTGTAACTTCGAGATAAAAGTCATAGTAAACCCCAAGAAACCCCAAATATTCAACTTAAGTGCCTACGACAAGAAATTACACAATTGGTGCACATTTCGTGATGAATCTGATTATTTTGGGTTGAGTACCATATCCACATCCACATGATACGATCCAATGTTTCAAGCTGAGGACTTACAGGGCTTACATCGTTTTAGCTGGTGCATTGAAGAGTATGGTGGCAATACTAATGAGTGAGAAAAGCAGCCATTTTTTCATCTATATATTCCCATATTTACACTATCAAAAGGGGCTACTGAACACTTTCATAAGATAGTTCCTTGTTTTGTCTCATTATTCATCTGGACATATTCCCATAGTAAACCTTTCCTTTGTGTGTTATACATTTAAATTGGGTAAACATCGAGATGGTAGGTCGCCTGGATACGTGGTTTTTAAACAAAGTCAGTTACTGAACAAATATTGATGTCATCATTTGATAGTTCCAGAGATGGTAAGATATAAAGCAAAATATGTAGAAAGTAAATACGTGGATACACAAATTGCAGTGTAGATTCCACAAAATATGTGTTCATATAAACTCGGATTCCAACCTTTCTATCACCGTCTGTTGTCATTGTGGGCAAAAGTATATGCCGTTCATCGATTCTGTGGTGTCTCAGGATATGGTGTTTACTGTGAGAGGAAAAAGCATGGCTTTAGAGTATGGCTTAAATGTACGTAATGTTCAGCTCCACTTATGAGTAAAGTTTCAGGTTTCGGTACGGTTGAAACTAAAAACACCCAATACATTGGTAAACCATAAATATGCCCCAAAAGGCATTGTCTGCATGAGAGATTCCCACACACGTCGCCTAAGTTAAGGATCCTCTGGGGTCCTTTCGGATCCCCTGGGATCCCCTATCACCACCTGGGAGAAAGAAGGCCCACCTCACCTAACAACTGGCATTGATTTACACTTGTAGTGTCCATTATTGAGGACATACGGATGCCAATACTGTGACGACGCTGCGCATAGTTGGTGTTTGCTTACAGTTTCCTGTTTATACTGGTGTAATCTTGACTGGACTTTTTGTTTGACCATGGATGCATGGTGCACTGATTGTTTCCAGATGTTGCTGGCCTATGAACCTAGTCTATTATGACTACCGCCACGTGTACGGTAAGAAAGATACGGCAACTTGTGCATTAGCAAAAGTGGTACTGAACTGATATAATTATATATATAGATGGTCGAGACAGGTATAATCTGAACCGGATGTAAAAAATATACTTCTTTCTGGTGATGTGCAATTCAGCAATGCAAGGGTACCTTTCACGCGTTCGACGACCATGTGATCAAGACTGGAATAACTCGGCACAACCACGACGTGGTGTCCTGCATCTGTGACGTCGACGTATTCATGTTGAGGCAGTGTGGAGGAAGATCTACATCTAGATCTAGTTACCATCTGCAAAGAGGATGAAGTATTCAAGAAGTTTGCTGATATGGCCCTTTTCCTCTTGATCAGATTGAGAAAGTGGGATAATGTGTAGTGGAACCACTTTGCTAACAGCGTTCATAGGACTGACTCATTGTCACCTATCAAGATTGGTGACACATG